AAGTCTTAAGGTACATGGTTGTTGAGGATAATTAGGAAGCTAGGATAATATAGTAGAAAAAGGATAGAGCAGGCTCCTCTCCCCTGTAAAGGGTACATGTGGGTGTAATGATACAATGAAGGCTGCAGAGCACTAGACTGAGCTAGGAATTATGTTTATGCAGTAAGCTGTGTGTGCCAGGTTCTGTAAGCAGCATTCTTTAGGCATCAGGTCACTAAATCCTTACCCTAGAAAATAAGCATTATCTATTTCACGGGCAAGAAAACTGAGGCTGAGTAGTTATATAAGTTGGCCAAGTCACACAGCTTGTAGAGCTGGGATTTGAACCCGAGTTAGCCTGATTCAAAGTTCAAGCTCTTTCCACAATACTGTGAGGTGGAGACACTTGCATGGCAGTGGGCAGCTTAGGCTTACCCTGTGAGTCTGAAACTAAGACCCAGGCACCCAAGTTTCCATCTTTCACAAAAGAAGAGTCAAAACCTTGCTGCAGGAGAGCAAATCCTGTCCCTTGATTCATGGGCTTCATAGCTAGCTGTTGCATTCTCCTCTTAACTAGAGTGGCACCAGCTTCGAGCTATTGCCAACTGCCTATACTATTCTAACTGTGACCCTTAGTTTAAATAAATAGAAGTCAAAGTGGCAGAAGATTCTAAGAGGGAAGAAAACATCCTGCACACAGGATGTAGAACTAGTTTAAGTTGTCTAAAGGTGGCTATTAGAAAACTACCCAAAGATGGCTACGCTACTGGTAATTGAGAAAGAACAGGCAGTTGGATTCATCCTCTGGTCACTGATTTAGTTAGGAAACCTGATTTAGAGACATACCACTCCTTGATTCATTTCTTTCTTCCCTTTGTTTGCCTGTAGTCAGGTTCTGGGTGTCAGGGTCCTTTGTTTGCATACTGCAGAGATGCTGACTTCCTGTGCTGGAACAGGCAGTTGGATTCATCCTCTGGTCACTGATTTAGTTAGGAAACCTGATTTAGAGACACACCACTCCTTGATTCATTTCTTTCTTCCCTTTGTTTGGCTGTAGTCAGGTTCTGGGTGTCAGGGTCCTTTGTTTGCATACTGCAGAGATGCTGACTTCCTGTGCTATCCAGCTAAGGGCAGCACAGAGGGCTTGGGGAACCTAAAACCATGCTTTAGCTTCTCTGTCTTAAGTCTGTAGTCCTTAACTCCTCAGGGTGGTGGTTCTGAGAATGCAAGTCCTTTACAAAAACAGCCAGTGTGTATATGTGTGTGTGTCTGAGGCAGAAGAACACATGATATTTTATTAGTGGACTGGCCCAGCATGGAATAAGGGTCTGGTTAGGGTAATTCAAACATGCCTCTTGGTAACTGCTTCAACTTTTCACATCCTTGCCCTACAGCAGGCTCTCTAGCTTTGTGCAGAGGCCTCTCTCATCTCTGAATTCCTAGTTCACAGAAACAAGAATACCCTGAAAACAAGAATACATTTTAAGAATATTTTATTTGTCTTTTAAGATTACATAGTCATTATTGCTGATCTAATACAATCACTTAGACATGAAGATTTCCAAGAGCTTTTAAGAAATGGCGACCCTTAGAGGTTTTATTCCTTTCAGTAAGATGACAGTGAGAACTAAATGACTATTTATATATATATATATATGTATAGATAGTTTAGAACTTGTCCGCATATAATTTGCTGGTGTAGCCTATTTTCTTTCCGTAATTTTCCTTTATTAAAAAAGCTTAATGCAACAATGCATTTTGATTTCTTTTTTTAAAACGATAACAAAGTTAATTTCGAGAAAACCACAGGAGCAGCAATTTCAGATCTGTTCAGAGAAAAGCCAAGCAGCGAAAAAGCTTTGCAGGAGTATGTGGCCATAAGGAGCCGTGCTCATATAGGAGGGTACGATGGGGAGGTAGGAGGGCAAAGGGAAGGCAGACTAGGTACATTTTTTTTAAATGAGAAAAAGAAAACTGAATATTTCTATTAAGAAGGCAAAGAAGACCTTGAAAACTAGCACAAATTCATTGTAAATGGTATGTATCCCCATAGGCCAGGGCCACATACAAAGAGATAATTAGCCTTCTTTCCCATTTTTCCAGATAGCTAGGATGCATCTAAGGTGAGAAATTGAAGGAAAGAAGACACATTGCTCCGATTCCAAGGGTAGAGAGAACAATTACCAGATTCCAGCACTAAGATAGAATTCAAATACTCAGGAGGCCTGGGCCTCTTTCTTTTTAATGGTTGATGACGCAGAGTCCCCAGAGAGGGAAGAAAGGTCATCTGAAACTCAGAGGCAAATACCTCACTAGGGGCAGCAATACTGGTAGCCTAACTTAGAATCCCAGTGTGGCTTCTTTATTTGGAATGGGTCTCTTCACTATAGCAAGTCGGAGAGTACTCTGGAAGTACCAGCTCCACAGAGAGCAATGCTTTGCTAAGAAACAGCAGGTTATGACTTTTGGTCTATGAACCTAATAGGCTAGAGTCCTTATATTTGCCTACTGGAACCTGCTGTGGGTATAAGACAAATTACAAAGATCTGAATCTTTTGCTAAAGGGATCCAATTAATTAATATAAAAATCAGAACTGGGTAGGCAAAAGGAAGAACTGAGTAGCCTAGTGGAACTTTCAGCATTTATGATCTTCCTATAAAAAAAATATAGCCAAGTATGTGACACTTCTCTAGTACTTGCTGAGATATATGGCCTCTGAAGAACCAGACTTTAAGGACTAAGCCCATATACGATTTAATGAGGCAAATAGCCATTTACCCAAGTTCCACCTCTCTACCTCCAAAAGTAAGGTCACTTCTACACTAGCTCTGAGGGCATACAAATAAAGAACAGAGGAAGTTAGAGAGAGTGGAGGTAGGGGAGGAAAAGCAGGATGGGAAGGTTATAGTGATCCTGGGTGGTCCGGTGTTTCCTTGAGTCACCTTGGTCTTTAGACTTTGAGGCAGACCAGCATAAGAAAAAATTGGGAAACAAACAACAAACATGAGAGTGTTAAACAGGGTTGGCAGGGGAAGAGGAACTCATTTAATTCAAGATTCCTAGGGCCACTCCAGACTTTAACTCTTAGAACCTATCTGGTCCCAACAGAACCCTTGAGACCAGGTCAGTCTCCAAAAGGAATCCACCTCTTGGGTGGGACATAAAATTTCATGCTGCTCACATTACTAATATTTTGTAATGTTGGTGTTATTCAAGAAACTACCTCTGAAATACAGTATCCTTAAATGGAAGAGGTCAGATCATAAAAGATAGGCCAGCAGAGAAGAAAGAACACATATCAGATTGCAGATCTGTTTCATCAATGGCAATGGCCAAAGGTATAAATGTCTGATGAGGTTCAAACTAGCTTTGATCACCTGGATACAGTTTAGAGTGTCAAATACTTCCCTAGAAACAAATAAATATACTCTGCCTCTTTAAAGTGTCAAGTTGTGGCACTGAAAGACCTGTCTCATTTCCAAAGTTTTAGACCCCCAAATCCCTACTCAATTTCAGAAGTAGTTTTAGGCAATAAGATGTTTCCAGAAGCAGTGTTTCTTAACAAACCCTCCTTTTCTGAGAGTGGCAGTCTGGAGGGGGCTTCCTGGGAAATTATAGTTAAATGACTAGGAAGTAAAACTATGGGTCCCAGTGGAGCTGGCCCCCACTTCCTGAGTGAGCAGAGGTTGGCTGGGTTAGAAAGATGGCAAAACAAATGTCTGACACACACCAAAGTTGATGAGGAAATAATGGCAGCACATCCCTCTTGGAACCAGAAAGTGTTAAAATGGACATAAATATTCAAGGAGAAGAAAGAAGTCCTGAGTAAGGAAGGAGACCCCCAGTGGGCACAGGCACAGCTGAGTTCTTGGTGTAGCTTGCCAAAGCCATAACACTCCTTCCTTACTAGCCTTTGTATAAAGAAGGCAGTGATAGTGATGGCCATATAAATTCGGTGGCTTCCAAAAGGCCTCACCTGGGGAAAGGCCGAAGCTGAGAAAGGCAGCTGTTGAAAATTTATTCCAGAAAACCGCAGGGAATAAGGAGTCTGGAATCCCTGGACTAACTCTTGAGCCTGGACAAGAAAAAAAATGGCCGTTGCTGAGGATTCAGAGTCAATGGGGAATGATGTGAATGATGCACTGGAAATGGTTTCTTTCCTTCCTCAGCCTGTCCTCTGTGGCTGTCATGGCCCTTGGGGCAGTAACCACACTCTGGGCCAGGGCTACAGGCACAGGATTCTAGATTTTAATAAATAAATAACCTAACATATAAGGTGAGCACGGCGGGCAGCTCTGATTGGAGAAGCAGCTTGCTGGGTTCTTTCTTGTATAGTAGTGGAGAAAAGGCTTGGAGCTCTATTCCTTAAAACCTCTTCTGGCTTGAGTTACAGAAACTTAATACCTAGAAGGAAAAAGAAAGATGAGACTGTGATGCTGTCAGCTAGTGGGGATGCTGGGACATGAAGAGGCTGCTTAAAGGCATACCAGGGAGGTGGGCACTTTTCTGGAGTGTATGGTGGGGGTAGATAATTGTGGCTCTTTTTTACATTGGTGGAAAAGGACAGTATTTCTCCATAAAGAGATAAAAATCATAGCAAGAAGATGAAGTAGAGAAAGGCAATTCAGGAAGGGGAACACTATTTAATGTCTGAGCTAGTGGGGATGCTGGGACATGAAGAGGCTGCTTAAAGGCATACCAGGGAGGTGGGCACTTCTCTGGAGTGTATGGTGGGGGTAGATAATTGTGGCTCTTTTTTACATTGGTGGAAAAGGACAGTATTTCTCCAAAAAGAGATAAAAATCATAGCAAGAAGATGAAGTAGAGAAAGGCAATTCAGGAAGGGGAACACTATTTAATGTCTGAAGGCCATTTGAAGAATCCTTTGGGCTGGCAGTGACGGGGAGTGGTTTTATTTTTCTGAGTTCATGTAAATGTATGTGGTGGGGGATGCAAAGACCAATTCCAGTGCAGGAAACTCTTTACTTCCCAGGCTTCCCTGACTTCTGGGGAGCCCAAGTCACCTGTAGTAATTAGGCTTGAAGGGCCCATTCTTGTTGAGTCCCAGATACTTGGCCTGTTCATCTGTCAGCTCCGTCAGGTGGGCATCAAAGGTAGGCAGGTGTAGGCTCGCCACATACTCATCTGGAACAGACCACAGAAGCACTGGTATAAGCATTCATGCCTCCTAGCTGGCTGTTCTCCCTAAGATAGGCTCTAATTCCTGGAGCTGAATAAAAAATGCTTAACTTTTGCCCACTGGCCCTCGGTTCTAAGGAATGGTTGCCTTTAGCTTTGAGCCCAATGCTTCTGAAAGCCATAATAACATCTTTCCTTACTCTTTCTTCCTTGAACCTTTCCTTCTCCCCAGAAAGGTGAGAGAGAGATGAAAGAAGCAATAGACCTTAGGGTTTAAAAGAAAGAATGGGATAATAGGCTAAACAATGGAAAGCTCCAACTTTAGTTGAACTCTAGACTTTGGGTCACTCAGAAAAGCTAACACCTGGGGAAATTGGAAAGCCATAACTAAGAAGGATGCGACATTGTGTGCTTTGCTTCTAGTACTCTTAGTTCTTACAAGTTTCTGTTTACATTCTATCATCTGCATACATAGCACTTATTTATATTCTGTCATTTCCTATGAATTTATTTGGCTTCCCCAACTTCATTATATATTCAGTCAGAATACAGACTGCTCTATTTCTTTTATATCCTTCCAAAGTGTCTATTAAAGCGAAAATATATCAACTACTAACAGTTGCTATGTGCCTAGTGCTAAAGCAAAACAAAACCAGAAGCTGATTTATCCCCTGATCCTCGACTCAGGAATTTATAAACACACTGTATCAGTTCTGGTGCTTGAGGCAGGCTCTTTAAAAATTTAAGACAGTTTAATGTTTCTCTTATACAAACACCCACATAACTAAACTCTGAACAGGAGCTATTCAGAGTCTCTCCTTTGGCCCGAAGCAATGGGGTTAGTGTTAGAAGTTGTAGTATGAAAGTTCTGTGCTGTGTGAGAGAAGTCTGGTAGGGCCTATTCAGCAGCCTAGAACTGGAATAACTCAGATGTCACAAGCTAGGAGATAACTCCTCTCTTTTGGAGGAAGATATTTTTTCTCCTCTGAGATTCTTTCATATAAGATACTTTAAGAGAGAAAACCCTTAAAATTCACAGGCAGGTAAACTAAATCACAGCAAAGTGTCACAACTTCACTAGGGCAACCCAGGTGGAAAATGGGATAAATTGAACCTAGGAATCTTAGCTCCTTCTTTACAAGATACAGCTTTTTTTTTTTTCTATCCGTAAGAAAGTTAATGGCACCAAAATTCCTTTAGCCTCTGATTCTGAACTACTTTGGTAAGGATAGGGATGGAAAAGCACATGCTTACCCATTTTCTTGGGCAATAGGTAGACATCCTGCTTATAGCGACCCTCAGGAGCATTATAAAGCTCTATCAAGGCAAGAGCCTAGAGAAACAGACAGATGGATTCAGATGTGCCATTCATAGCAATCTACCTCAATGTCAAGTGAAATCTGGCTGGTCTGAGGGCCCTCTCCAGCCCACTGCTGTCCCACTCTGGAGGCCTTACCTGAGTAGTAGCAGTGATTGAGAGCACAAATGTAGGCACTGTGGAGCAGCTTAGGTTCAGCAGACGGCCCTAGTGATCAAGGTGAAGATACAGATTGGTTACGACAAAGTTGCAGGCCTTCTAAGAGAGAGGGAAGAACATGACTGCTGTTTTCCAAATGCTTCCCAACTAATATTGCTGGACAAAAAGCAGGTATTCAATAAATAGGAGGTAACTGATTGACACTTAAATGAGATCACTGAAAATTCTGGATAATTTGATAAAGGTAATCTGGAATTATGTAGAAAGGAATAGAGACGGTCACTTGATACTGAGGGTTTATGCCCAGGAAGGTATATTTCTGTCAAATTTTCCACTCTCTATGGAAAAGTATTTTCCTCCTGAGGATTGATATTCCTTTGAAAGACTATCCTAAACAATAATCTAGTCAAATCCAGGAATGATCTCTCCAGGTTGTAAGGGGAGATATCTTTGGATTTAGGAAGCTGTAATGATTTTTGTGCTTCTTCCTCAGTTAGGTTCTCCTGAGTTCAAGGGCAGATTTGTATTTTGAGTAGGTAGTAAGACAGTAGAAGACCTAGAAATTTACCCCAATGCCACCCTTTCCTATTTTGTTTCCTAGTAAGAATGACCACATTTTTTGCTCAACCATATACCCCAAAATACCTGTGGTGCTTGCTTTTGTCACCAAAATCACTAGGTGGGATGTTCCAGGGCAATAAGAAATAAGTCACCAGACAGTGGGCTGACTTCAAAGCTATTGATGCATATTTAACAACCTGCCCATCCCCCCTCCCTATACACACTCCTTCCTTGTGAGGAAATAATTCAGTCCCTTTACAGATGCCCTAAAGTATCTGAGAAGGTGGGATAAGGTGAAGAAAAGGTAAAGAGAACAGTAAGGATACTCAAACCTAATTTTATGGGCCCCTAGATAAAGACAGTGTATCTTTCAAAACCCAAGAAAAGTATTCTTAGTCTCCTTGTTATTTTGGTATCTTTCCCTGAAGAAGAGAAAGCTTCAAGGTAAGAACACAGGGCATCATCATAGCTGTCAGAAATCCAGAGGAGATTTGAAGAAAGGAAATGTGGTCAGACATTGACATGGAAGGCTAAGTGGAATGATAGTCAAGAATAAGTGTGAGCTAGAAGAAGCCAGGATGGGGAGAGTTCAATCAAGCAACCAGTATAGCTGGGTGCCTCCTACACATTTGGCTCAATTAAGGGAAATGGACACTCAGAAACAGGGAATCTATCAGTAAAGACATGATTTTCCCAGAGCTTGCCTAAGACAGTTTTAGAGTTAGGAATATCTACTTTATCCTTACTGATTAAACCATCCCACAAATGACATTATCTCTTTGTAAGCATCACTCAAAGTGGCATTGGTGCTATCTGTAATTCCTTCCACAGTAATAGTCATCATCTGACTCAACCTGTAGAGTGACATGGAGAGACAGGATAATTGGTGAAAAGTGGAGAACCAAAATAGTTACTTAATTGCTGAATGAAAAGATCTTTCACAATTAGAAGTAAAATCCATTGGTAAAGTAGTTAAACCTGTGCTTAAGAGAAGGCGTTGCAAGTATGAGAGAACAGGAGGAGGAGGCGACCTGGGTACTGCAGTCTCTCCTGTCAGGAGTGAGTACCTTTTGCCAGCCTCAGTCTTACCTCTGCCAGCAGTACTATCCTCTTGCCATCAGGCCATATCACATGGTCAACTTGGGATCTCACTCGCTCCCAGGTCAGTTCTGGTGTCCGCAGACTCGCCTGGAACATATACAGCAAGCACATCATCAGACATGGCAAGTCCCACTCTGGGGACAGAAAGATGTTGAAGGGAGCCATTTCAAATAGCAAGTTGAAAGGAGCAACCAACATGCCATATGGAGAATACCTGTCCTGGGTTGGTTAGGACTGATCCATTTCAGGGAATTTAATCTTAGGCCCAGCCAGGGAGGGATCACTCAGGATGTCATTCCACAACATCTACTGTACGCCCACTCTCTGCTGAGCACAGTAAAAGGTGCTATGGGAAATACAAAAGAAACCAAAGACATGGTTTCTGCCTTCAAAAAGCTTCCACTTATAGTTGGGGACATAAAACAATACACATGTGAGAGGAAAAAAAGCCTTTGAGATACTTACAAAGCAACATGCAAACAAGTGCAAATTAACACAGTGCAAACTGAATACATAAGTGCTGAAGAGACACAGAAAAAAAGGAGGACAGAGCTGAGTGGGATTAGTTAGAGAAGGCTGAATGTCCTAAACATAGCATGCTGGGGCCCAAGGTTCTGCCCTCATGTCCAATGTCCCAGGTTCCACCATCTCAAAAATGGTGGTTCACCCTAAAGTTACAGAAGCTTTGTGACCTAGTGCAATGTGAGGTAGCCTTTAAAGAAATGCTTAATGTCAAAGTAAAGCTCCAATGGCTCACCCTCCTTCCATTCCTGTACATTGTATATTCAGAGAACAAGAGAAAAAATGTTAAATTTATTAACAGCAGCAATCAAATAACAGTTACAGGGGATAGATTTAAGACAACAACTTCCTTCTCCCAACATGCAATGCCTAAAATAGAAAAGGAGCTGATATTCCAAAACTATGCACTGGCTCATTTGATAAAATTGAGAAGTTCTGCCAAATAGTAGTTTTCTGACAAAAAAAGAGAAACACTTTTAGTTATACAAGAATCATTTACTGAGTACATACCATACTATAGGCATCGTAATATTCTAGGCAATATAGATAAGACTGTGGATTCCTTTAGTGGACTGTGAGCTATTTATGGACAGGGACAGTATCAGTATCTACTTTTCATTTTTATATCCCCAAGGTCTATCTAAGCATACAAGGGGGTGCTCAATCAGTGTTTAGAAATCCATTATCCCCATCCCTGAGGAAGTACCAATCTAGTGGGAAAGACAGACATATAATTATATTTCAGTATATTCAGAACTATATTAATGGTCTGGACCATTTCTTTATTAGGTAGATGGGAAACATAAAATTTCTTCAGATGTCAAGTTTCATAAATCGGTTCAACCTTTCTACAGGACAATTTGGCAGTAGCTAGCAAAATATTTTTAATTATTTATTTATTTTGGGGGTGGCTGGCTGGTACAGGGATCAAAACCCTTAACCTTAGTATTGTAACACCACGCTCTAACCAACTGAGCTAACTGGCCAGCCCACAACATTTTATATGTACTTAACACTGATGTACCAATCAACTTCACTTTTGAGGCTCCATCTTATAGAAACACTTGCTTAAGTTCAGAAATGTAACTGTCTAAGAATGTTCAATCCAGGGTTATTTGTAATAGCGAAAAATGTAAATCAAGAGAAGTAAATCACAATAGTTCTATACAATAGAATATTATGTAACTAAAAAAAATTGATCTATATGTGTTAACATGAAAATCATTCATTATTGTTGAGTGAAAAAATCACGTTGCAGAGCAATATAGTAAATATAACCCTAATTTATAGATTTTTTTACTTCTTACTTTAAACATTTATATTGCTTGAATTTTAAACTAAGCAAGTATTACTTTTAAATTAGAATTTTAAAAAGAAATTTTATAAATATGCACTGTAAATAGAGTTCAAAATAATTTAAGCAAATGGACTATTTTGGGAAGTTAAAGATATACAAGGTAATCCTTAGCCTTTGGAAACAGCACCGTGGAGGATAATAACCACATAGAGTCAGGAAGATACTCCTTGGCAACACTGGCATTTTTTATTGAGATGATGAGACTTTAAAGTATTTCAGGTTGTAAGTGTTTTATACATCTTTTAGAGGACAAACAATCTTGGTGATTGGGAAGAAAGAGCTGATACCATGATAACAACAGTCATAGGAAATATTCCTTGGGAAGAAAGATATGGTGAAATCAAGGAAAGGATACTTTATGAACATAAGAAAATGATCAATGTTTAGTAGAGGCAGTTTACTAGAGCACTACAATGGATATGATGTAGGAAAAAGACCCAAGGGTAAGTTTAAAAAAGGGATTTGAAGAGAAACTTGGTAAACTGATCTCTACCACTGTCCAGAGAGCTCCAGTAAACTGACTATTAAGTTCTACCTGGGAGTCACACTCCTCAAAAGAAAAAGGCTTTCCTATCCGAATGCCTACAGCTTTACAATTATCTGTCTTAAAGACATCCAGTTGTTTTCACTGTGGATTTACAATCACTAAGCAATCTACCAGGAAAATGGTTCTCTATGCAGATTACATTCCCAAACTAGGTGTACATCCTACCATAAGTTAGCCAGTTACTATGCTTGCACAAATTGGTTTTATATAATTCTGAACAGTACAAATCAGTTTTTTTCAGGAAGAACAACACTGTTTCTAGTCTATAAAGCATGGAGTCAATAGAAGGTCTCAGGTCATATCATTCTTTGGCTGGAAAAAACTTTTAAGAGCATGTGTACATAACGGTTTAATCACTTGAATTGTGAAGCTTGACAATCGTACAGGCCTATGTGATGCATATGGGTAAGCAGGTCTGCTTTCAAGAGAAAGAAGACATGTAAAAGAAAGACATGATGGCTAAGAGCACAGTCCCTATCACAGGTTCCCTAAGTATTCACAGCATTAATATTTCTCAGAAAAAAATAGAGCTTTCTGAATGACCAACTCTTTTGATGAGTGATTCGTTCCTAAAGATGCAGAAGGCAACATCTAGAGATTAGGTAAAACTACAAATTCCTACCAAAAAACAAACAAACAAACAAAAACCCCACTATATGTGTTAACATGAAAATCATTCATTATTGTTGAGTGAAAAAATCACGTTGCAGAGCAATATAGTAAATATAACCCTAATTTATAGATTTTTTTACTTCTTACTTTAAACATTTATATTGCTTGAATTTTAAACTAAGCAAGTATTACTTTTAAATTAGAATTTTAAAAAGAAATTTTATAAATATGCACTGTAAATAGAGTTCAAAATAATTTAAGCAAATGGACTATTTTGGGAAGTTAAAGATATACAAGGTAATCCTTAGCCTTTGGAAACAGCACCGTGGAGGATAATAACCACATAGAGTCAGGAAGATACTCCTTGGCAACACTGGCATTTTTTATTGAGATGATGAGACTTTAAAGTATTTCAGGTTGTAAGTGTTTTATACATCTTTTAGAGGACAAACAATCTTGGTGATTGGGAAGAAAGAGCTGATACCATGATAACAACAGTCATAGGAAATATTCCTTGGGAAGAAAGATATGGTGAAATCAAGGAAAGGATACTTTATGAACATAAGAAAATGATCAATGTTTAGTAGAGGCAGTTTACTAGAGCACTACAATGGATATGATGTAGGAAAAAGACCCAAGGGTAAGTTTAAAAAAGGGATTTGAAGAGAAACTTGGTAAACTGATCTCTACCACTGTCCAGAGAGCTCCAGTAAACTGACTATTAAGTTCTACCTGGGAGTCACACTCCTCAAAAGAAAAAGGCTTTCCTATCCGAATGCCTACAGCTTTACAATTATCTGTCTTAAAGACATCCAGTTGTTTTCACTGTGGATTTACAATCACTAAGCAATCTACCAGGAAAATGGTTCTCTATGCAGATTACATTCCCAAACTAGGTGTACATCCTACCATAAGTTAGCCAGTTACTATGCTTGCACAAATTGGTTTTATATAATTCTGAACAGTACAAATCAGTTTTTTTCAGGAAGAACAACACTGTTTCTAGTCTATAAAGCATGGAGTCAATAGAAGGTCTCAGGTCATATCATTCTTTGGCTGGAAAAAACTTTTAAGAGCATGTGTACATAACGGTTTAATCACTTGAATTGTGAAGCTTGACAATCGTACAGGCCTATGTGATGCATATGGGTAAGCAGGTCTGCTTTCAAGAGAAAGAAGACATGTAAAAGAAAGACATGATGGCTAAGAGCACAGTCCCTATCACAGGTTCCCTAAGTATTCACAGCATTAATATTTCTCAGAAAAAAATAGAGCTTTCTGAATGACCAACTCTTTTGATGAGTGATTCGTTCCTAAAGATGCAGAAGGCAACATCTAGAGATTAGGTAAAACTACAAATTCCTACCAAAAAACAAACAAACAAACAAAAACCCCAAAAAACCCTTAGGGTTTTGATTACTACAAATATTTGGATAAATACTTACCAAATCATTCTCCTATGCAATTTCACTGAGTTGACTTATAGTGATTCTCCTCTCTTTTCTCTCACACCCTCCATCCAATCCATTTAGCATATGCCATTGGTCACACTATATCACTTCTTATCACCTCCATTCCTTACCCATCAATCCAAGCCACCACCCCTTCTATTGTTTGAAAGAGCCTCCTGTTGTCTCTATCACTACTCAAGCTCTGGAAGTGTTTTATTTATACAAAGGACAGAGTAACTTTTTAAAATGTAAATCAGATTTCATCACTCATCTGTTCAAAACTTTCCAAAGGCTTCTTTCACACTCAAAATAAAATCTAAAGTCCTTTTCACGGTCTATAAAGCTCCACACAGCCCGCTACCTCCTTGAGCTGCCTCTTCCCCTCACCACCTGCCCAGTCTGTTCCTGCCACAATGGCTTCTTTTCTGTTCCTCAAACACATCAAGCAGGTTTCTACCTCAGGGTCTTCTACTCATCATTCTCCCCGAACAGAATGCTCAGATGGCTAGCTTCTTCATTTCATTCGGGTTTTTTTTTTTTTTTCCAAATGTTAACTCCTCAGAGAAACCTCCTTTGACCACCCTAACTAAAATAGTTTCCTCACCTTGCTGTTTTTCTTCACTACTAAGCACTCACTGACAATAACTATTTATTTGTTTATTATCTATCTCCCACACTAGAATATAAGCTCCACAAGAGCCAGGATGTTATTTACTGATATTTCTTCAGCCAATTGTTCCTAGGCACAGAGCAGAGCAAGTACTCAATATAAATCTGCTAAACAGTGAATGAACATTCTGGTTTCAATTATTAGTTGAGTTTGCTATTTCTTTAAATTTCATTTTACATGCCATGTGACACTAACACCAAAGGTTGAGTAATTTAACTTTTCAAAAGACTTTCTCTCTTTCTGGACATTTAGTTTAGCCACATATCTTCTGCCAAGAAGAGTACAAAGAGGGCCGGCCCGGTGGCGCACTGCTACAGTGCGCCGCTTGGAAGAGTGGCGGCGCTCCCGCCGAGGGTTCGGATCCCACATACAGACCAGCCGCTCACTGGCTGAGCAAGATGCAGGTGCAACACCGAGGGTTGCGATCCCATTGCCGGTCTCGGTCCGGTACGGGCGCGACACTGAGGGTTGCGATCCGTTGCCGGTCACGAAAAATGACAAAAAGGGAAAAAAAAAAAAGAAGAGCACAAAGAGAAGAGAAGTGAGAGATGGACATTGGCTCATGTCAGTGGCAGATATGAGGGGGCTACCTGGAAATATCTGCAAAATAGGTCTATCTCACAGTAGCCAGGGTGATCCTTTTAAAATAAAAGTTATCCTTTTCAAATACAAGTTAGATCGTTAAAACCCTATAACGGCTCCCTATTTCTCTCTGAATATAATCAGGAGTTCTTACACTGGGCTATAAGGCCCTATAAGATTTGGCCTACAACCTCTCTAACTTCATCTTCCCTCTCCCCTGCCCTGTGCTCATTCTACTCCAAGCACACTGGTTTCCTTGTTGCTAGGGCATGTTTTCTAGCTGTTCTCTCTTCTTGAAATGCTCTTCACCTAAAAATCCACATGGCTAAGTCCTTCAAGTCTGATCAAAAATCATCATCTTAATAAAGCTCATTGTTTGATTCCTGTATTTAAAATTACAACCCAGCTCTTGATTCCCCTTACCATGCTCTACTTTTTCTTTTCTTTTTTTTTTGTGGTGCTTTCACCTTCTACATACTATGGATTTTATTTATTATGTTTACTGCTCTTCTCACTAAAATGTAAGCTCTATGAAGGCAGGAATCTTTGCTTGCTTTGTTCACTGACTCCAAGCATCTAGAATAGCACCTGGCCTATAGCAATGACATAAAATATATTTGTGATTGAAAGGAAAGAGTCTTCTGACCTTTACCTTGAAAGATTACTTATGTCTGAGCTGCCTTCAAAGGAGAGATCACTATCACAATTTGAAGTTAAAATTAATCTACAAATCATGAGGGGGTAATAATGCAACATATAGGAAAACAACACAAAAGTAGATTTAAGTCAGAAACCTGGATTTTGTTCTCCAACTTCCATTTTTTTTTTTTGGAAGCTGTCTGGTAAGGGGATCCAAACCATTGACCTTGACCTTGGTGTTACAACACTACGCTCTAACCAACTGAGCTAACCAGTTGGCCCTCTCCAATTTCATTTTGAATCAATTATATGACTGATGAATTACTTAAGTTCTTAGTTTTCACACTGAAAATTAAGAAAAAGAATAATGCCTCATGGAATGGTTAAGAGAATAAAATGAGATAAAGTAAAAATATAAAAGGTACATGATTGCATTTGGAGTTATTTTTATTTCAGAGCTTCCTCAGGCTTTAGAAAGGAAAATTCCTTCCCCCTACCGCTACTCTGAAGATTTCTCATTAGGACCCAGGGCATGACATGAATACTTTCCTTTAGGCTTTTCCCATTTGGTGGTTCTATAAGCAAATTAATCCAGGAAAGAACAATCACATGCTAGAAAGCTTTAGAAATATTATTATCTTTGACCATTTAGCAAAGGGGTAGTACGGCACGTAAGTGAAATGTAAGCCAAAAAAAAAAAAAAAAGTCAAGCACCAACTAAATTATTCATTGTAATCAAATTGTCATGGTAAGACAGAATAATGGAGCCATGCCTCTCAGACACCCTAAGGTAGAAATAGGCTCTTACAGGTTTTCCTTATAGCTATTTGTAATAATAGAAGAATAGAGTGTAGAGTCAAAACGAGAAACCATATAAAATAGGTATTATCCAACAGCTCTCAATCTATCCACTGATCCTTACCTGGCAATTCTGAAGCTCAATCAGAGCAGCCCTCAGTGGACATGAAAGCATGCTTTGTTTGAGCCAGTTACCCAGAGAGAAATATAGTTTTGCCATAAAATGCCATAAAAATTTAAAACCAGAGTGAAAGTTACACTGAGAGATACTTTGGTAAGTCTGAAAAGAAATAAATAACACTTCTATTAGCCTTTACCAGGGCAACTTATTAGCAACAAGTGCTATGTTGGGTTGGAAAATTATAGGGTGAATATAATAAAATTGGAGAACTAACGTGATAGATTTTCCAGGTTTGAAGAATACATGCTACTACACAATGGCTCTGGATTGATCGTGACACCTACAGACCCAATTACTACAGTTTGGAAAATATGTTAAGGGGAAACCTAACCCAATAAAAGAGGGAGAAAAAAGAGGAAACCATAGTATTTGATAGACATAGTCAATCTTAAGCAATGTAATCCTCCCAGCCCATAGATTTCTCTCCCTTGACCTGTGTCCTTGGACCAACCAACTTATTTCATCTTCATGGTAAAATCAAACATCTCCAAAATACTGACTATAACAGTGACTCACATTCATTGTATCTTTTTTGTAGTTTTGATTTTACCCAGCTCTTAATCCTAAACAAAAAGACAAAATGGCTTATAGTATAAGCAGGTCTCAAGCTTGGGTAGAAGACAATCATCTGAAATAAAGAAGCTATACAGAATTCTCAAACACACTGAGGGTTGCGATCCGTTGCCGGACACGAAAAAAGACAAAAAGGAAAAAAAAAAATAACTCAAAATGGGTCATAGCACTAAATGTAAGAGCTAAAACTATAAAATTCTTAAAAGAACACAGGAGTAAATCTTGGTGACCCTGGGTTAGGCAATGGTTTCTTAGGTATAAAACCTAAAGCACAAGTAACCAAAAAAAAAAGAGAGAGAGAGAGAGAAATTAGGGCTGGTCTGTGGCTCACTTGGGAGAGTGTAGTGCTGATAGCACCAGGGCCACAGGTTCAGATCCCTATATAGGGATGGCTGGTTAGCTCAATTGGGAGAGCGTAGTGCTGACAACACCAAGTCAAGGCTTAACATCCCCTTATCAGTCATCTTTAAAAAAAAAGACAAATTGGACAACATCAAAATTAAAAACTTTTGTGCTACAAATGATACCACTAAGGAAGTGAAAAGACAACCTGCAGAATGGGACAAAATATTTGCAAATCACATATAAGTCATAAGGGACTTACATCCAGAATAGATAGGAACTCTTACAACTCAATAATAAAAAGACAATCCAATTTAAAAATGAGCAAAGTATCTGAGTAGACATTTCTCCAGAGAAGAGGTACAAATGGCTATCGAGCACAGGAAAAGATGCTCAACATCATTAGTCATTTAGGGAAATGCAAATCAAAACCACAATGAGATACCACTTTACACTCACTAATCAAAAAGACAGACAATAACAAGTGTTGGTGAGGATGTGGAGAAATTAGAACCCACATGCATTCTTGGTGAGATTGTAAAATGGTGCAGTCCATTTTAAAACACCTTGGCAATTTCTCAATGTTAAAAGTATGATTAATGTTAAATGTTAAAAGTAGTTACCATATGATCCAGCAATACTCCTAGATATATATCCAAGAGAACTGAAAATAAATGTCAACACAAAAACTTGTATACAATGTTCATAGCATCATTATTCATAATAGCCCAAAAATGAAAACAATCCAAATGTCCATAACTGATGAATGGATAAATAAAATTTGGTATATCCAATGGAACATTATTCAGCAATAAAAAGGAATAAAGTACTCATATATGCAATTACATGGATGAACCTTGAAAACATCATGCTAAGTAAAAGAAGCCAGTCACAAAAGACCACATTTGTATGACTTCATTTATATGAAATGTTTGGAATAAGCAAATCTCTCTTTTTTTGACCAATAAGGGGATTGCAACACTTGGCATGGTGTGGTCAGCACCACGCTCAGCCAGTGAGCGCATCGGCCATCCCTATATAGGATCTGAACCCGCGGCCTTGGCGCTACCAGCGCTGCACTCTTCCCGAGTGAGCCACGGGGACGGCCCGGAATAAGCAGATCTACAGAGAAAGAATGATTAGTGGTTGCCCAGGGCTGGGAGAAGGCAGAGGATAAAATAAGGTGTGACTGCTAAGGGTATGGGGTTTCTTTCTAGCGCAATGAAAATGTTCTGGAATTAGATAATAGGATATTGCACAACTTTACTAAAAACCACTAAACTGAACACCTTAAAAAGCTGAACTGTATGATATGTGAGTTATATTTCAACAGAAAAACTAGACTGTGGTAATAGCTGTGCAACCCTGTGAAATTACTAGTAAACACTGAATTGTACAGTTTAAATGGGCAAAATGTATGGTATGTGAATTACATCCAAATAAAGCTATTAAAAAAAAAGATCCAGGGGATGGATGTGAAGCAAGTACAGCTTCTTATGGTCCTTATTCTCCGCTTACAGCTCTCTCTGAGGATACAAATATATTTTTATTCTTAAATATTCTGATTTTCCTCCTAAAATAGAATTATAAAAGAAAACCAGTGTTCCTGTGGTTTATAGTTCTCTCATAAAAATAAGTATCTCAGTATAAGCAACAATTTCTGCATATTCCTCTCTGAAACTCAAAATCTACCTCTTTGGGAATTAACACAATAACCTCGCCCACTTTCCCTCACCACGAAGAATTTTTTGCTTGAGCCTTGCCTTAATTACAGGGACTAGAGAGAAACATACATCACGTCTGGAGGTAAAATAAAAAATCAATTGTAAAAATTTAGTATCTTGCTTCCCAAATAAAACTCTACAAGTGAATCTCATCTCTAGCCATCCTCTATGTAGTTGAGGATGGATAGAGATTTAACCATTATAAAGGGAGGAAAGAAACTTTCCTGTAGAAATGATCTAGTGGTATACCTTTGGTCAGAGCTCTAAAGAGGTAAGAATAATGTGAAAAACTGGTTTTGTAGACTGTTATCTCTGGCATGCATGCATTCACTTATTCATGCACAGCTGGACAGTACAGGGATCGAACTCTGGACCTTGGTGTTATCAGCATCGTGCTCTAACCAACTGAACTGACCAGCCAGCCCTTATTTCTGGCTTTTAGAGTTTGGTTTTGTTCAGAACATTGCCCATTATCTTTCACTTGCTCCATGAAAGCATTCCCAAGTGCCACACCATTTAATATGTCATAATCATACCTGTACAGGTAATAACAATGTCCACTTGTCGGATAACCTCATTTAATTTCACCAGTCGAAATCCATCCATACTGCAGAAAAAATCAGGATCAATTAACCTAAATAGGCAGCTGGGGAGCCTTTTGCCAGAGAACTTCAAAAGCTATTACCAAGTTCCTGTGGTACCTACGTTGTCACTTCTTGAGATAGCTAGACTATTTGTAGCAGTGAAAAATCCAAACCATTTTCCTAGTTCATACCGAACAGAAATAAAAGGTTCCTTCACATTACAAGAACTTATTTTTTCCTGATAATAGGGAGCCAGGGGTTATCATGAGGTTCCCTGACTGAGTTTCTAGAAAGTACCATTTAGCCACTGAATCTACTGCCCCATTGAAACTGCTCTCTCCAAGATCATCAATGATCTCCTGAATGCCAGAAACAAAAATATTTCCTAGAGTCTTATATTACTTGATTTCTTCTGCTACATTAAACATTATTTGCCTTCTTAAAACTCTATGCTCTTTAGACTCCATGATGCTTTTCTCTCTTGGCTTTCCTCTTACTTCTCTTATTGCCTCTTCTTCAGTCAACCTTTTTGGTGGGGTATCTGCCCTTGTCTCTTTTCTCTATTCTTTCATTACTCATCCATACCCTTCCCATATGTCCAAATGACCACTTATAGGTGGTTGATTTGCACATTTATATCTTTAGCTTAGATCTCTCTGAAGCTTCATAGCTAAGGATCAAATTATCCACTGGATAGCTCCTTATGAATGTCCCAGAAGTATCTCAAACTTATTGTGTTTGAAAATAAACTCATTATCTTCTTTGTACCCCTAATACCACCTATTTCTTCTTTTATATCTTCTATATTGATCAACAGCATCACTATTCACCCAACTGCATGAGCCAAATAAACTACAATGTCCTAGCCTACTACCTATCCCTAACTGAAGTTGTCATCAAAACTGGTTGATTCTTTTTTTCCTAATTCCTTAAAAGTCTCTTGAATATGTCCCCTCCTCTCCATACATGCTGGAGTTCAGGTTTTATTATTTCTCGCCTAAATTATCACAGTAACCTCTGGCCCAATATCATCGCCTCTAGATTAACATCTCTAAATCATTTGTAGAGTGATTTCCCTAAATGCAATTCAGATAATATCACTTCCTCACTTAAAATACTTCGGTGAGACTGCCTGTTCTTAAGACCCAAATACTTATATATAAGTATTTAATTCCTATGAATATAATTTAATTATTATTTAATTTAATTATAAGTATTTAATTCCTAAGATATATAATTCCTATGAATCCTAACTCAGATATTACCACTCCCCAAATTTATCCTCTCTGCCAGCTACATTAAGATATTTCCAGATTCTAAAAAATGCTGTGCTATCTCTCCTTCTCTGGATACTATGCACATGTTTGCTGGAACTGGAATATACTTCCAAACTAAGAAAACACTTATAAAAGTCTCAAGACTAAGCTCTACTGACAACTTTCTACCCTGCCCCCTTGCTCTTCAGTTAGAAATTTCTCCTCCTTTGTAATCCTACAGAAGCACATGCTGTTCACCTCCGTGACAGCACTAAACTAACTACACTGCACAGTGGTTATTTGTCCATGCGTTTCTACAAGGAGGACCTTGTCTCATTCATCTGTCTACCTTATCCATCCTCAGCACACAGCACCATACCTAATACACAGTAAGTGATCAGTTCACATCTATAAGCTAATCTGAACAGTACAGCAATTGGTATTAAAGCACATTCAGGTTTCTGTAATGAATCCGGAGACTACTAGAAGGGTGATTGTTTCTCTGGTGTTCTGGGCCCCTCTCTCAAAGAAAGTCAGCAACTCTGGGAAACCTGTGGATTTATGACGAGGATGTGTGAGGAGTGGTAGGACGGGGGAAATGGTTATAGTAAAAGGTTTATGCCATGCCTCATTCTATCCTGGGGACCTTTCTCTGGAGGGTTAATGGTAAAGACTGGTAGGGTATCTGGCATACAGACATTTGGACTCTGCAGTAGTTTTCAGGGACAGTGGTATTTCCCATCCTGATGAGGATGGCAAAGGACAATTTTAATAATAGCTACCATTTAGTGAGCACCTATGTGATAGCAGCTCTGTCCTTTATATAATTATGTATTTATTATATAATAAGTAATAATAAAGATCTTACTGAACTCTCACAGATCTATGTGGTAGGTATGGTTACTTGTTACCTATATTTTACAAATGAGAAAGGAACTATTCTTTTTTTTAACTTTTAATTTTGGAGTCAGTTCAAACAAGAATTGTAAGAATAGCACAAACAATTCCCATATACCCTATACTCAGAGTTAACAGATTTTACTCTTTATTTGGATTTGCCTTATGCTTCCTCATGATAAAGTTAAGGTTATCTAAACTAGTCATTCGGAATACCAAAAAGAGCGTAGTTCAAACAAGAATTGTAAGAATAGCACAAACAATTCCCATATACCCTATACTCAGAGTTAGCAGATTTTACTCTTTATTTGGATTTGCCTTATGCTTCCTCATGATAAAGTTAAGGTTATCTAAACTAGTCATTCGGAATACCAAAAAGAGCGTTTTCCAGTGTATCACATTGGAAAGCACCTGATGCCAGCCTTTTTTGATCATTGTTTTCAAAGGGGCAGGAATTACATAGGAAGAAGGTAAGGGGCTACTTGTTCACTGGTTCAAAGCATCCTGTTACTATTGCCACAGGAATTCTAAATTTTAGCTTCTCTGATAGTCTCTGCTCTCTCAGAGCAAAGCTCTATGACCTTTGAAAGACAGAAGCTTACAGTTAGTGGCAGACTCCCTTAGGATCTGGGCCCCTAAGATTAGATGTAGCATTAACCAGGCCATTCTTTGGAGGCAGCTCCAATCAAGATCAAATGTCACAAGGTGGTACAGAGAAGGAGGCATGTCTCCCTTCGCGTGCTTACCAGGCTTGCAGGGCACAGATGGGGTCAATCTCAGTTACATACACAATGGAGCCCATGGCTTTCAGAGCAGCACAGCACCCTTTCCCCACCTGAAGAGGGGAGAGAGCACACATAATAAGGAAAATCAACGAGAAAACAATTTCTTAAAGCTGCTGGTAAAGTGTACCCCTCTTTCCACCCCCAAAAAGGATTTCACTGAATAGATTCATGCTTGGGGAAAAAAATGAGAAAAACAAAGAAATGAATGCAGTTCATAAACAATCCCCTGGCCCCTGTTTAGCACATTCATGTGCATAAGAACACCCACACTCACGATTTATAATCAAAACACAAGCTAAAAGAACATCACAAACAGTGTTACTGGAACAAGTCAAAAATCAACTTAAGAAAAAATGGAAAAATGCAAAGGGAAAAAGAAAGACTGCACTTTAACCAGAGGGCCTCTAAAGTTACTTTTTCCCATCTAAAGTGGTAAATGAACGTACTCTTATGTACATACAAATTAAAAATTCTAGACTATTTCAGCAAAATACACTTTAAACACCTGATAAGTGGAAGCTTAAACTTTACCTCTCCATAGCCACAGACCACCACTTGCTTTCCACCAAACATCATGTCTGTTGTCCTTTTAAGTCTAGGGGGAAAAACACTAAATCAGAATATTCTTTTCTTGTTTCTACCTTGAGGTTAGATTAGGTCTCTTTTTGTTCATGGTGTTTGTCTGTTTGTTTGTTTCCCATTTTGAAAGAAAGCCTAGTATCTACCCTAGAGAAACTGGTTAATGACCAGAAGGAAAGGTTGAGTAAAATAAATATTTTCTCACTCTTTGCCATTCAACCAATTCTATCTATATGTGAGGGTTTTTTTTCTTTTTTCTTCATTTCTTGAGTGGTGCAGAAGGGAAGATGATGTAGATTACATAGTACCTTTTAAATATAAAAGCAATATACATTTAGTTTATAATATTTTGAATATATAATATTTGGAAATAACAGATACAAAAAAGAAAATAAAAATAATGTAATTTTAATTTAGAAAATGACAAAGCTCTGGGCCGGCCTGTGGCTCACTCAGGAGAGTGCGGTGCTGATAACACCAAGGCCGTGGGTTCGGATCCCATATAGGGATGGCCGGTTAGCTCACTGAGTGAGCGCAGTGCTGACAACACCAGGTCAAGGGTTAAGATCCCCTTACCGGTCATCTTTTAAAAAAAAAAAGAAAATGACAAAGCTCTGACTTAATGGAAATATTCTTCAAGCTTATTGGTTTAGAAAGAAAACATAAAATATAACAATGATAAATGAGTAACACATTTAGTAGTATTAGAATGGGTCCCACATTAACTCAACCAGGAGGGTAATGGGCAATAAGGTGGAAGGTACTTTTGAAACATGTCAACACTGACTACAAAAGACAATGAATTTCTGGTGTTGATTCCTTGTCAGACATGTTCTACCTCTTTGTCTTTGATTCTCTGTGAAACTGATTCTTACTTTTCCAGGGTCTCTTGAAAGGAACTTGCAGGAGCAGTTTCTGGCTTCTCTTCAGGTTTAATCAGTGTCAAAATTCAGACTATTCTGAGACAGACGGTTCTTATAAATATTTATGGGTCTTTCTACTTACTTATCTATCTGCTTACTTCTCCTGTTGAAAAGTCTATAAATGTCCCAAAGGCAAAGTAAAAATCCTGTCCCTGTCCTTTTTTTTTTTTTTCTGCATTTCTTTTTTTTTTTTTTTCCTTTTTGTCTTTTTTCGTGACCGGTAACGGGATTGCAACCCTCGGTGTCGCGCCCACACCGCGCTCAACCAGTGAGCGGACCGGTCTCTATATGGGATCCGAACCCTCGGTGGGAGCGCTGCCATGCTCCCAAGCGCCGCACTCTACCAAGTGCGCCACCAGGCCGGCCCTTTTTGCATTTCTTTTATTGAAATGTATTGATTATATACATTAATGGGATACAGAGTTATATTTCAATACATGTATACAATGTGTGATGACCAAATCAGGGTAATTAGCATATTCGTCATTGCAAAACTTAATCATTTCTTTGTGAAAGTCCTGTCTTTTTTAATTATATGGCAACTCTACCAATAAAAACTAATTTAACTCCATGCTCCACCATGAAACTCATTAAATATCAATTAAGTAGAGGTAATTCTTATTGAGTGAAGAGAGTAAGTCTAGCTGGGCTATTACCATACTCAAAAGTCATGGCTTAGGAGAATGGTCCTGGAATGGCTAGCACAGAAAGGAGAATCAAGAGATCACATTTCTTAGCCTCCTTTGCTTTGACTGCCCTCAATCCTTTTCTCCTCTCTTCCCAAAGGAAGATACTCTCTCTTTGCCATTACAAATGACTGTGTGGTAGAAAGGAAACTTCATCAACTTACTCTGTAAATGACAGCTAGGCTGACAGACCTGAATGGATTCCAGTTAGGCAGTGATTTCCCTAACTGAGATAAGGGACCCCGATCTGACTCAAGATTCAAGGATAAAGGGTAGACAGACCTCAGCCAAGGAAGAATTTTTGAGGGGGCCAGGATAGTAAGCTGTCTGGTTGTCTGGTGCTATGTAAGAGACACAGCAAGTCTCTGACTTCTCTAATTCTTCTAGCCCCATGACCCACCAGGAGAGTTCCTGAAATACTATTTTATGATCCCAAAATCATATCTGGGTTCCTTTGGAACTACTAATATATCCTTATTTCTGCCAAGTGGAATCTCAATCTCCAGAAGGCTGTACTTGCACTGTGTTTTGGCAGTGCAGCCCAATTATGGAAGTGTCCTCTAGGAGTCGGTGGGGTTTCCCTCATTGTTTATGGTGTGGTATCTAATCAGCTCAGAACTACAGAAGGTAAATCACTAATACCTTCCTCATAAGGACTCTCCATTGGCTTGAATGTCCTCTCCCTTCCACTATAGTCCCCGGTGCATAGTTTAACCTCTTCTTTAATTTCTTCTGTTCTCAACTCCTCTGAGGAACAACTGCCCTTGACCCAGTTGGGAAATTTTTCACTATCTGAAGGCACCAATGAGCTCTTACCACTCTGCAGGTTTCTGGTGGATAGTTGATGTTCTCCTGTTTCTTTACTGTTGAAATCTAACTTTAACTTCTGTTCCACTGTTTCTGTCTTATCTCACTTTCATATATTTGACATTAAAGAATCTTACCTATAGGGTAAACCCTACTTAGGAGGGACTCTGTCCATTTTTATGAACTAGTATAGGTACCTTTATGCATCTTTTACTGAATCTATTATAGGCTAGATATTAGGCTCACAGATTTGGGACTTAAAAAATCTGAAAGATACTTAGTTGTGGATGAGTAAATATTTTAATGAAATATACCTAGATTACTATTGATTTGATCAGGCTCAAGGTATTCATCATAATAACCCGTACATGTGGACCGAACTAGGGACAGTCTATAAATAGACTGATGGTTTGAGATTTATTAAAATGTCTAGTCTATCTGATGATAAGTAACAATAGCTTGAATTTGCATTGAACATTCCACAAATCAAAAAGATTTCAAAGCAAAAAGCTTCCTCTAAGATCTAACTCAACCCTAGAAGTTACTAAACAGAATTCTAGAAAGAAGAGCAAGGGAATTAATATTGAGCAACTTACCCTAACTCATTCAATTCTCATAATAACTCTATGAGATAGGTCTTACTGTCACCATTTCACAAATAAGGAAATATGCACAGAGAGGTTGAATAACTAATTCTGGGCCTCATAGTTAATAAATAATTGAGCAAGAACTCAAGCTGAGGTCTTTCTCGATCTAATGTATGTAGTGTTACTATAGAGTAAATTGACTGAGGTCCAGACTAGTCAGTAATGTGGCCCACAGGCCCTTTCTTCACTTTTCCATTAACTTATATATGATGGAATCATTAGTCTTGGCAATCTTCTAAGCCAACTTAATGGTTTCACTTAGGAAATAATAGGGTCTTCATAGCAAGAATGAAGGAATGTGAGAACATTAGTGTGGAAACAGAAACTGGGTGTTAGAAGAACACAGTATTTGGTATGTACCTATGTAGATTTTTTCAGGCTTGCAATCCTTACAGATTTGAAAAACTAGAAATGCCTCTGGGAATTGACTCTTTGCTCACCACAAGTTTCCAGATGGCCAGATGTTAGTTGGAGCTTACAAATGGCAATGTGACCTAGAATAGGATCACCAGGAACCTTTACCAAACCATCAAAGATACTTTTGTGTGTGTGTGTGTATGGCTGGCCAGTATGGGAATCCAAACCCATGACCTTGGTGTTATAAGGCTGTATTCTAACCAACTGAAAAGATATTTATTTACACTGACTTTAGTTAATGACTTGAAGGCCGGATAGGGTCACAAAGTAAGAACTCTGCCCACCAACAGATAGGAGCTAGTCTCATTTCTTAAGAGAAGTAGATTTTCTTGTAATCATGATAGCAATGGTAGCTCTGGGTTATAAAATTTTGGGTGTGATGCGGTGATAGATCCAGAGGTGCTACATGAATCATTTCCACCTATAACCAAACTAAAAAAAATAAGAACCACAAATCAACAACTTAGGTTCATCTCAAAGATAGTAAGCATTACCCATCAAGAATTGATTCACGGCAACAGTATAGGTTGTCAAATTTCTGTTTGGTGACTGAGTCATTGACATTCATGGCTGGAACACACAGCTTCCCAGCTTTGGAGAGTTGGTATAGCCTGAGGATGAGGAAAGTGCAGAAGAACATAAAACAATAAGACATTAAATCTACCACTGGTTTTATATCAAATCCCAGAAATATGTTAGTTGGGTCAGCATGAGAGCATGACTAGTTTCGTTCTATTGGGTGTATACTGAGAAATAAAGAGTATCTTTCTAGAGCCTATATATAGCTTAGCAACAAAGATCTTACTCAAAAAACATGTGGGGAAAATCCTTGACCCACTTCTAATTTTTAGCACCTTAAATGGAAATTTTTAAATTGCATATTAATTTTATTCCCTTTTTTAATTATAAAAGTAGTAACTTTAAGTACTATTTTAAAAATCATGCATAATTCCACTACTCTAATGCAACAATTTTAACTTTCAAATAATCTCAAATTTATAATCTTTGTAAATATGTATACAGGAGTTATATTTTAAACTGAGTCAATTAAAAATTAGAAGTATGTGTTTTATTCAAAATGTATCCCTTTCTAAGAGTCTGAAGATATGTTATAACCCACAGTTTTACGTATTCAAAAAGATCACAATATATTGAAGCAGTGATGGTAGGTTATTCAGAATTTACTTCCCTAACACTTTTATTTCATACTTTCAATTCTTTATGGGTGAATAATAGTAAACAGAAATTATTCCAGTTTTACTCAGGGAATTATTGTTCATCTGAGAAACAGAATCCTTGCTCTCTGTGTAACAATGTAAGCTCTATGAGGGCACAGGTTTTTGTTTTGTCCACTGCTAGATTCCTAGCACTTACAGCAGTTCCTGGCTCACTGCAGAGGTTCAATAAATATTTATTGAATAAATAAATTTGGCCAAAAAGGACAAATAGCCATTTCATTATAACAATTAGAAAACATGAGGACACCACTTTTCTCCCCTCTGCCCCCCTCACTATTTTAGGTTTGTTATTTAATTTTTAAAATGAGTGTGCAGAATCAGATCTGGTCAACTCAAAGAAATTTGCAGTTTTTAACATAATATGTTCTATAGGTATGTGATTACAAGATTATATGTCTAGGCTGTATAAATCCAGAAATGCCCATGTCAAATCTTACCTATGGACTCCAGTAACACTCTCCTCTACTATGCCCTTGATTTTCTTAAACATGTTGGGATACTTTTTATAAATCCAGTGAGTAAGATCCCCTCCATCATCCAAGATCTGCAATAGTAAGCATCAATACTGTCATTCATTTTGCTGAAGGCTGAAGGCTGAAGGCTTCAGTCCTTCCCTGGGTCTTGCATCCTAATTTCTAATTACCAATGTACAGATATTTCTAATTTCCCATATGGTTATGAAAAATAACTTAAAAGCCAGAACTAATGCAATAATCTATGAAACAGTCATTATATTGACAATGAAGAGTGAAAGTAAAAGACAATGAAGGGTGAAAGGCCAATTTTAATTCTCACATCCAAATGACCCTCCCACATGACACATCCTACCTACTATACCAAAATGCACAGCAGTACAATGAGGATCTTCTTATGGATTGATAGCTTAAGTGGTTATCTAGACCACTAGTTCTTGAAAGTACTATAGATCTTCAGAGAGCCTACAGTTGATATTGCAGATTTCTATTAGTTAAATTCAAGACTCTAAATATATTTAGTCAAGGCTTAGTTTAAATAAAAGGCCAGATAATTAGACTCCCTCTCAGAACAATGGCTTATAAAACTATATTTGTTAATCCTTTACTTCTCTCAAAGTACAGGCACGCTCCCACCCAGTATATCAGGCAGCACTGTAGGGTTTTGCCTAGCACAACCTCATACTCTGTGTAAACCAAATTAAAAATAACCAGGGAACTGTGCAGCACGTAGGTGTGCAAGCATGACTCTGAACAGCTCATCACTATTTCAGGTTCGGATTGAAGATAAGCACAATGCTGTGCCCACTGGAGCTTTCATCAGCAGAGGAAAGTTTCTGAATTATAAATAAGCTAAAGAAAGAACAGCTTAGACTACTATCAGGTACTAGGCTATGGGACTTGAGCCCTTCACTGGGCTGTTAGAAGTGCTCAGAGGACTCTGCAAATTGTTATACTCATTCTCCTGGAAAATCTGCACAGAATTGAGTTGCTCTCTGCTGGCACTCCCCGCTTCTGGAGTCTCATCGATTATCAACTCTAAGTGCCAAAAATGCCTTCTTGGACCCAGGTATACAAAATCCCCAACCTCATGTCTACCAACTGATCTCTTCTTTGCTTTTGCTCCTGTTGTTGATTTCTTTTCTTTGACTCAATGAAACCTTGCTTGAGAACAGGGATCCAACATTGGACTTTCATTAAAACTCTTACACTTGCACGGGGCTGAGCCCGTGGTGCACTCGGGAGAGTGCAGCGCTGGGAGCGCAGCGGGTTCGGATCCTATATAGGGATGGCCGCTGCGCTCGCTGGCTGAGCGCGGTGCGGCCGGTCTCAAAAAAAAAAGTGCAGCGCTGGGAGCGCAGCGGGTTCGGATCCTATATAGGGATGGCCGCTGCGCTCGCTGCGGTGCGGCCGGTCTCAAAAAAAAACAAAAAACAAAAAACTCTTACACTTGCTCCCTATTACAAGTAGAAACCTTCAGAACAGATGCCCTAAGAAACTGAAAGGCTCTTCTGAGTTTCTCTTTCCCTTTCTGCATGTATGGAAACCCTCATGGAGTTTTGCCTTGCAGCCTCTCATCCACAGCCACAAAAAAGATCACAGACAAAACAGATTAAACAATTGGAAACTGGGGCCGGCCTGTGGCTCACTTGGGAGAGTGCGGTGCTGATAACACCAAGGCCGCGGGTTCGGATCCCATATAGGGATGGCCGGTTGGCTCACTGGGTGAGTGTGGTGCTGACAACACCAAGTCAAGGGTTAAGATCCCCTTACCGGTCATCTTTAAAAAAAAAAAAAAAAAAAAAAAACAATTGGAAACTGTGTTAAGTCCCACTATTCTTGTCCACTTTTCCCATTTAACAAAGGTGTCTAGGGCCGAGCCCGTGGTGCACTCGGGAGAGTGCGGCGCTGGGAGTGCAGCAGCGCTCCCGCCACAGGTTCGGATCCTATATAGGGATGGCCGGTGCGCTCACTGGCTGAGCGTGGTGTGGCCGGTCTCAAAAAGGACAAAAAAACCCAAAAAACAAACAAACAAAAAACACAAAGGTGTCTGACAGAGGCAGGTAGTTGTTATCCCTAATATTTCTTTAATGAATGAGGCCCATAATTCTCACCATGTAATTCTATTACAGAAAATTCTTGTCATCAGGGAATCTTCCTGAGATTGGAAAGCAAGGAAAAGTACTATATTTTGATAGGATCCAAAGAGATATGGGTCCTGTTTTCTGGAGTAATGTCTGTTTTTGTCCTTGCTTACTCTTGTCTTTAACCTTTCCAGCAGTTTGTGGGGGCTCTACAGTTTGTAAAAGCTCTCTGGGTACAAACTCATGTCCTCCCTGCATTTATAACTGTAAAATTAATGTTTTATTCCCAGGAGAAACCCTCTGGCATTTCTTTTTTAGTGTCTGTCAGTCATACTCCCTCCTGACACTTAAAATTGTTGGAATGAGGTGACTCATCTTATAGCCACTGTCATCCCCACCCCCCACCCCTGTAGGAGATGAAGGGTTTAACCCAGTTTCTTCAAACCAGCACTGGTGCAATGTGACTGGGATCACAGATTTCAGAAAGGGGCTGCTTCTCTGCCAGGTGAGGCCTGCTCTGCAGTCTTTATCAGACAGCAATAGTAGGACTAGAGCTTCAAGGATTCTTTTTTCAGTTGATTCCCTAGTTTCTCCTAATTAGGAGAAATTACTAATATGCAAAATTGTTTGCAAAGTAGGAGTACCTTATACTTTGGGTAGCTTTCACCTCTCAGTGAATCTAATGTGCTTACCCGCCTTTAAGATTTGATTTTTTAAAAAATGAAACAAAACGAAAAACAGGAAAAATTAAAAACCCAAAACTTTGCCTGGTCACATGTGTGTGTGTGTGTGTGTGTGTGTGTGTGTGTACACACATATATATATGTATATTTTGGTGGCTGGACAGTATAGGGATGGAACTCTGGACTTGGTGTTATCGGCACCATGCTCTAACCAACTGGGCTAACTGGCCAGCAGCTAGTCATGTTTTTCAAGAAATAAAGAGAAGAAATTTGAACTTGGAAGCTCTTCAGGTTTACTACAAATTCAGTATATGGATTCTAGAGAGAAAGCTAAGTACTTCTGGAGCAAAAGGATTTTTGTTTGGGTTTTTTTTTTTGCTGGGTGGGATGGTTGCAGTGGTAGGGGATGGAAACTCATTATCCTTGCTGTTTAATCAGCCATGTGTGAATCCTGAGCAGTATTTTATTTTATTTTTTTGGTGGCTGGCTGGTATAGGGATCTGAACCTGTGACCTTGATGTTATAAGACTGTGCTCTAACCAACTGAGCTAACTGACCAGTCCTTGAGCAGAATTTTTTTTTTTCCCTTTTTGTCTTTTTTCGTGACCGGTAACAGGATCACAACCCTCAGTGTCGCGCCTGTACCGGGACCGGCAACGGGATCGCAACCCTTGGTGTCGCGCCCGCACCGCGCTCAACCAGTGAGCGGACCGGTCTCTATATGGGATCCGAACCCTCAGCGGGAGCGCCGCCGTGCTCCCAAGTGCCGCACTCTACCGAGTGTGCCACCAGGCTGGCCCTTTGAGCAGTATTTTAATGTACTAATGAATATGAATGCTTCTAACATCAGCACCAACAATTAAGGCACTTTGAGGTTATGAGAAGTTCAATACTCTTAGGTTACCTTAAGCATAAGCATCTAATTCTGCTAGAAACCCAGGTAGAAATGGAGCCATTTTCCTTCCTTCTTGTTGGGAAACCCTCTCCCAGGCCATAGCCTCCCCCTACCCTCACCTTGTACAGAATTATGTTAGCAGAAACCTGACCCACCATGTTTGGCTGCCAGCCCTCCACATTCACACATCTATCAATGCACCACCAAAAGTCATCTTCTGATTCTCCTTTCCAAGCAAAGACAGGAAATCCTGAGAAAAAGAAACAAAGATAAATCATTAAAGACTGAAAAAAGAGCTGATCCTGAAATTTTGGCAAGACATTGCTGGTCTTCCCCAATTCCATTCTCTCTCATTCCGCTATATTCCTTGGATTGGCTTTCTTCACTGATTAGCATTGACTTCAGCCCCTTTATCCATTCCTTTGTCCTTGGTGATCATTCTGCTCTTGTTAGCTCAAAGAGGACAAGCAAAATGGACAACACTATCATGGCTACTAAAAATACGACTAAAGAGAAAAAAAGAAGAAACTAGAAATAAATACTTCTCAATCCAGTCAGACTGGCATTCTCACCATTTCCCAATTACACTTTGATCTTTACTTTCTTTTCTTTCTTTTTTTTTTTTTTGGTGGTTGGCTCGTAAGGTGATATGAACCCTTAACCTGTTGTTACTAGTACCATGCTGATCTTTCTTATTTCTATACTTTAGTCATCCCACCCTCAACATCAGGAAAACCCTTACATGTTTTTCCATTTGCTAAGATATTGCTACACTTTATAGCCCAGTTAACTGTCATATTCCTAATGAAGCCTGATTAACCCAGCTGGAAGTGAACTCTTAAGGAATCTGAACTTTTCTAAGCTCCTTGTTTGTGGATTGAATATAGATTTATAATCTATCGTGGCATTTATCATATATGTCCTTGTATTATCATTTTCTATATATGTGTATTATGTTCTCGACCACAATATAAGATTCTGAGGGCAAAGACATTGTCTCATTTGTCTTTATATCTCTTAGAATAGGTCAATTAGCATTTGTTTAAAAAAAAGGAACGAATGTATATGTACAATTCAGTGCTATACATTTAATATTTGTGCACTTTTCTATCATACACACATCAATAAAACTTTATAAATGAACGAATACAAATGAAAAACAAACGAAATGCTAAGAGTGCTAATCAAAACAAGAGACATGCATGCTCGATTGGGCTTTCCCAGTGTTTCCAAGGAGCTCTGAAGCAAGTGTTTTATTCTTTGATCTGTGCCGCCAGAGAGTGGAAGCAAAAAGCTGGCAAGGTCCAAATTTCTCTATTTTTTTTTTTGTCCTTCAAGTAACAGTGGATGTTGTGATCAAACATTAATCTGCCAGGTCAAAAGTCCTCTTTACTGCTCATGCAAAAACACTACACATTAAGTCATGGCAAACTACTTGCTGGAAAACCTGCAGGGCCACAAAACTTTGGCTGAAGCATTTTCTTCTCTAATGCATACTACCTTAGACGGTGAGTAGTGTTCACTAGTACTCTACTATTAGTGAGTCAAAGCAAAGCATTAACTAACAATGGAGTTTACACATAGGTAAATATTTTCAAACTATAAAACAGTAAGTTAACTAGACCATTTTTGACAAGAGAAGCTAGAAAGAGAGAAAACTCATCAAGAATAGGGATCCACTTCTTTCAACCTCCTTTATTGTTCATCTTCCTTAAAGATTTCTATTCAAACAATGGAACTTTCTGGAAACTTACTTTAGCTAAAGACATAGAGAACAAGCAAAAGACCTTACCACTTTCTGCTAGAGCAGCAGCTACTTCATTGAGAGTGGAATAGATGTTGCAGGCAGCCCATCGGCACTGTGCTCCCAGAGCACCCAGAGTTTCCATAAGCACCTGTATTAAAGAGAAAGCAGGAGATGAGCATGCCTGAGAGAAACAACTGGTCAAGGAGACTATGTTTACATATTTGACAATGAGAAAGTACATCAGGAATAATCAAATTGTGCACTGCAGAACTCTTCAGTATTCTGAAAAGAGGGCAAAGATTGGGAGAAGGCATGGGAAGAGACTCCAGCTGAACTATGCGCTTTTATCTATCTAACATATTGGCCCTCTCCATAAGATTTAATTAAACTGAGGACTTCAGAGATAAAACTTTTTTTTTTTTTTTTTAAAGATGACCGGTAAGGGGATCTTAACCCTTGACTTGGTGTTGTCAACACCACACTCAGCCAGTGAGCTAACCGGCCATCCCTATATAGGATCCGAACCCATGGCCTTGGTGTTATCAGCACCGCACTCTCCTGAGTGAGCCACGGGCCAGCCCTAGAGCCAAAACATTTTTTAAAAAACATAGATGTATAGTGCTTCTGCTTAGGATGTAGGATACTGCATGAGAAACTCCCACCCTAACAACAAGAAAAAGCTGATAATCTACAAAGCCATACTTTTCTTGAGCCCATGAAAGAGCTGAGGTCATAAAGAAACCAAGTGAAATGAACTCCAAAGAGTGATAAACCCTTTTAAGAAGAATGGGAACACTGTTAACACCTCTGGTGGAACATGGGAGGGAGAGGTGGTTACCATACATGAGTGTAAGAAAAAAATTAGCTAAATTGTAATAATTAGTAAAGGCTTTTCTGTGGGAAAGTGTGCCAGTCTGGAATTTTTTGTTGCACCAGGCACAAGAAGATTTCATACTTTCATGCAAGCTTTTTTTCAGGGGCTTCCACCCAGTGCTCACAATAAAGACTGGGGGCAGGGAGCTGATTGGCTACGCTCAAAGAAAGGCATAAAACCTGGACATTCTTCTACACTCTTTTCTTATAGGAAACAAATCCTTAAGCTCTAGGAAGAAGAGCAGGAACTGTTCCTGCCATCAGAGAACAGGCAAAGATCTACTGCTTCTCGGAGAGTAGAAAGAAGCCCTGTTGGGCCCAGGATGGTTCACTGATACAAAGTAAACATTTGCTACCTCTCCAACTCTCTAGGAGGGGCAGGAAAATATCTCCTTCCCAAGACCCACCACAGATATAAGGTAAAATTTGGCTGTTACAGAAAAGAGAGGCAGGAACACTGAGAAAGACCTGCCATCACAGAGGCCTGCTAACACTAAACCTGAACCAGGAGATCTAAGAATCCCACTTGCCCTCACCACAAGCTTAGCTCCAGGAAACAAGAAGCATTAGTCTACTACTACAGGTGGGTCAGGAACTTGAATAGAGAGCCCCACTGTGGCATGCATGTGTAGAAGCAGCTGACAGCTGAGGGTGAAGCAGAAACACCGAAGAAAGCCTTCTGGTAACCTCAAATCACAAGGTAACAGCAGCCCACTGCTGGAGGAATTTGAAGCCTATGGCACACAACAGCAAAATCTAACTTCAGCCCAATTCATGACTATAATGGAAATGAATATACTACCACTCAATAAAAAATTTCAGGATACACAAAAAGTGGCAAACAACAACAACAACATTATGAAGAAATAATCAGTAGAGCCAGACTCTCTCAGATGAGCCAGATGTTTGATCAGACAGGAACTTTAAAATAAGTATGATTAATAAGTTTACGTTCAAGAATCTAGTAAAAAAGATGGATAACATCCATGAACAAATAGGGAATTTCAGTAGAGATGGAAACTATAAGAACAAGTCAAATATAATGCCAGAAATTTTAAAAAAATCAGAGATTAAATAAGAGTTCCTTGAACAGGTTTATCATCGTACTGGGCAAGTCCAAGGATGGAATCAGTAAATTTGAAGACAGATCAATAGAAATTACCAAACTGAAATACAGAAAGAAAAAAGAGTGGCAGAAAAAAATCAAAACAGAGAATCCAAGATGTATGGGACATTATTAAATGGTCTAACACATATGTATAATTGGAGTTTCAGAACACAAAGAGGGTAGAGGACAGGGCAAATGAAATACATGAAAAGTTAATGGGCTATTATTTCCCAGAATTAATAAAAGATGATCCAGGAACAATGACATCCCAATAGCAAAGAGCACATTAGTGCCCAGATCTACAAAAAGGAGCCAGGGCTTCTTGAAGATACGGCTTATTTCAAGGCTAGGGCAAGGAATGTAAAAGATGAGCTTAGATCATTTTGTACCAGAAGCAAGGAACTGCTCAAAGAATGAAAGGGACATGTCAAAAGACAAAGAACCCACAGTGAAGGGGCTCCCCCTGGCTAAACAGGGGACAATATGAGCACTGAAATAAATAGTAATAGTAATGGATTATAACCCATTAAAAAAATAGAAAAAAATTATTCCATTCAAATAAAAATAAATGAATGAATAAATAAATCAAACGTTTGATGAAAAATGGGATATCTGAAGTTTCATAGTACTACCTCACAAAAAACTTACTAATTTCAAAGAGGAAAAAATAACTTTTACAGTGGAAAAGCCTGGCACTCACTATCTCAATCAAGGGATCAAAGTGAACATCATCAGTTATGGGACAAATCAAAATCACGTGCCACTTGATAGGATTCATGAGAAAAATGCAGCATCACTTCTGTGATATTCCTACCAAAGATGCATAGCCTGAATCTAACAACAAGAAGACATGACAAAACCCCAAACTAAAGACATTCTACAAAATAATTCATCTGTAATCTTCAAAAGTGTCATGGTCATGAAAGTCGAAGAAAGACTGAGAAACTGTTCTGGACTACAGAAAACTAAAGAAACAAGACAATAAAATGTAATATATAACTGTGGGCTAAATTATTTTGTTATAAAAAATAACACTGGAGGGCCGGCCGTGGCTCACTTGGGGAGAGTGTGGCACTGACAATACCAAGTCAAGGGTTAAGATCCCCTTTACTGGTCATCTTAAAAAAAAAAAATTTGTATTTTTAAATATTTCTACATCACATAAAATTTTTCTTTCTTTTTTTTCTTCCAAAAGATGACTGGTAAGGGGATCTTAACCCTTGACTTGGTGTTGTCAGCACCACGCTCTCCCAAGTGAACTAACTGTCCATCCCTATATAGGGATCCGAACCCGCGGCCTTGGTATTATCAGCACCACACTCTCCCAAGTGAGCCACGGGCCGGCCCTCACATGACATAAAAATTCTAATTAAAAATATATTCTAATTAAAAAAAAATACTAGTTGTCCCACTGATTTAGGTTAATCTGCTCAAGTAATTTGTCCAAGGTCACACAGTCAGCTAATAGCAGAACTATTAATATGCCTTCATTTCTAGTCTATATTACCCTTCAATATTTGATCCCAAGTTTTGCCTCTTGTTTTATTTTTCACCTTAAAGAACTTCTAAATTCCTATAACTAGGATTCCTGAGTTTGTCAAACAAAATAATGGTACTGAGAATACTACAAAGCAATATAAAGTAATTAGAAAAGAAAAGTGTTTGGAACTGAGAGTATAATAACTGTGAGTATAGACTGTTGGCTATTAGGGCTCAAACAGGAATGAAGGAAGGTAGGAGTGGGAGGAGAACAGAGCTTAAAAGCTGATTTAACCTGACTTCAAATCATTATTGTTTAATATGTCAAGCTTTCAGAAGGAGAGAACAGAACTATGGTTACTAGAGGTGGGAAAGGGGGAGAGGGAGGAGGTTAGGGAGAAACTGGGTAATGGACACAAAGAATAATTATGTTTTGTAATGATGAATATGCTAATAATCCTGATTTGATCATCACATACTGATAGTCAACTCTGTACCCCACAAATATGTATAATCAATTATGTTTCAATAAAAAGGAAAAAAAATAAAATATTAATGTAAAAAACCCCCACCACCACAACAACCAAATCATTATTGTTTGGAAGGAGTAGCAATAGAATCAGGTTGGAAAAAAACTATGTAGCTCAGCCGGCTAGAGTGTGGTGTTATAACACCAAGGTAAAGCATTCGGATCCCCATACCTGCCAGCCAAAAAAAAAAAAAAAAAAAAGGAAAAAGAAAAAAACTATGGAAAAACACCTAAAATATGTAAATAGATCCATGTCTATTAGAAACATGGATAGGTAATCAGTAACTATGATGGTTATTTCTGGAGCATGGGGTTATAGGAGATTTTATCTTTCTACTTTATATATTATGGTAATGTTTGAATATTGTAAAATGAACATAAACTACTTTTGTAATCAAAAAAATAAAATAGAGATTAAAAATAAAACAAAGGAAAATTCCTGGGTTTTTTAAAAGGAAAAAAAATGCAGGGTGGAAACAATAAAATACTATTAAAATTGGTAAACTAATTGTAATTAATCCATTTGGGAAAAAATAGAGAAGGAACCCTAAAGGGCAGTAATGTTCAGTAAGCCTGGGGATATAATTTGGCAACATGAGACAGCAGAGAAGCTTACTATTTTAAGTTACCGCACTGAAGTCCCATGTCCCTGACTGACAAGGACCAAAAAAGGTTTTCAAGAATTTTTCTGCCTCAATTCATTGGTCAGTAGCTCCAAAAATGGACAGCTTTTCAATTTATTATATTAATTTTGAGTAGTCAAGGTACTCTTTTCCTCAGAGAACATATAACCTAGAAAAGTCTCAAAGTGAAGATGCTAACAGTAGCTGTCTGTATCTTGAGGAATCTCTACTGTCTTTTCCTCAGAGAACATATAACCTAGAAAAGTCTCAAAGTGAAGATGCTAACAGTAGCTGTATCTTGAGGAATCTCTACTGCCCTTAATCAGGAATGTGACCACATAAGGTTGTGCTTCAAGAGAGACAATCTTTTGAAAGTTGATCTAGCCATACAGATAATCCAGATCTTATAAATCTCATAGTAGATTCCATACCATTTTTCAATACAACAATTTCCCTGCGGTGGTCTCATTATGGTTGGCAACTCAATATCTATTACATCTTTGAAGATGACTCAAAAGAGGAGATTCAGAAAATTGTGGGGACATATTTGGTTGTTACAGTAATTGGGAAGGGAATGCTATTGGCATTTAGTGGGCAAGGCCAGGGATTTGGACATTCTCAAAGTCCAGGACGGTCTCTTACAGCAAAAAACTGTGCCACACCTGGTATAATTTTTAAAAGTCCCAACGAAAGTTCACATAGGTGAAAAACCTATTTATCATTATCTGAGTTTAGAACCTAATTCCAGGAAGGCAACAACTGTATATCAAGAGAAAACTCATACTTTTCATTGTTGTTGTTGTTGTTATTATTGTTTGGAAATTTACAAAAACTTGTTTACTATTTCAGAAAATCCTATAATTTGGCAATGGTGCTCTGACGCTCTGGAACCAATAACACATTTCTACCTGTCCACATTTGTAGCACTCTCCTTCAAATGCTATGAAAAGTACAAGTGTTTGACTATTCTACTATAGTTGTGTCCAAGCACATACTGAAATATGTACATTATTTGACTATAAATTACTTTCCTTTTATTATTTCTTCATATTTCAGTTAACATTTTATATTGATTTTTTAAAAATTATACGTACCTATGTATATTATATCTGAATTTCACTTCAAGGTAATTCAGGGGCACCACAAAATATTTTTTTATAAGAAGGGGATATTAAATCTGTTGAGGGTGGGAATCACTGGTCTAAGCCAATCATGGTAATTCAGGTGGAGCATGGGCAGCTGATCCATTTCTGCTCAATGAGACATGATGGAGTATCCAGGAGGACTTCCGGGAAAAGTTTCTTTGCTCTTGGGAAAGAGGAAGAAATTTTCCTTCTTCCTTTACATGTCAGCTTGTGATCTCACTATCAGCTGGAGGATTAATCAAACACACTGAGGCGGCGGCTCCAAGAGAATCACAAGGTGGTAAAATTGGAGCCCTGAGATCCTGTGTCTGAAGTCTGCCTTCCCTCTGGACTTTTAGCTAAAGTAAGGTAATAAATTCCTTTATGAATAAGTCAGGTGGAATCAGGTTTTCTCTCATTTGCAGCTCAAATCAGCCCAACACATAGGGCTACCTTGTAGAAATGACACTGGAAGGGAAGATAAGGGGAGGCAGTTGTAAAATAGTAGTGAAAGCATGAGCTTGCTTATATTGATATATTGAAGTTCAAATCTTGATTCTGTGATTTACTAGATCTATAATCTTTGAAAAATTACTTAAACCCTCTGGGTTTCAGCTTCCTCATTTACCAAATGGAAATAGGTATACCTGTTTTATGCGGTCATTATGAGGATCAATAAACTAATAGTTGTTAAGCTCTTAACTTGGTGCTCAGCATGTTGGAAGCACTCAATAGCTATTGGTTATTGTTAACTATTGTTATTAAGAGAAAGGAAAAGAACTCACAGCAGTTTGAGCAGTGATGTGTGTGCAACCCACAATTTTGGCTCCAGCCAAAGGCTTTTCTCCTTGAGCTCTCTTCCTCAAAGCCATCAGTGCAGGCATTTCTGGAAAGCCCAATACACACATAGCAATATTAGAGAAGAAGGAATAAGATAAAAAAATAAACAGAAAAACTTACTCTTAATTAAGATCCTTCCCCTGATCAGGTTCTCTATTAGATTAGGTTCCTCAAGGGATCAAGACATTAAACTTGAATTTTCTTTTATAAGGTACTTTCAGAGGCAAATGCTCCAGGGTTCTGATTCCCTACATTCCAGTCCTTATCCTGTTTATCTCCTTTTTCATTGTATATGGATTCCTTCTAGGCCCACCAGAGTTGACTCCCTCCCCAAAGTGTTTCCTGAGTTCAGATCTTTTTTGTTGTAAGTATTCTTAAACTGAAATTTCACAAGCTACCAGACCCTAGCACATAAAAAGAGATTAATATGGACAAAAAGACATAGGCAGGTTGAGAAGGAAAAGATGCTTGTTTTCTTTACCTTGTTCAGCAATTTCAATTTCTCTTCGTCCAAACTCTGCCTGCTTGATGTTCTTGACACAGAAGTCACTGCTTCCCTTAGAGTTCTTTTGCTGCTTGTCCCTGGGGGATGTCTCATCATCAGAGCTATCTGTATATGAAGCCGCTGGAACAACAAAATAAAAAACTCTCAGAGAAAAAAATGACTTCCTTTAAAATTCCAAACCACAGAGTGAACTGAGGCTTTTCCAGTCATCTAACACCATACAAATTTATGATGGTAACTCAATGGTACCACGGAGCTGTCTCAATAATTTCCTATGGAAAATGCTATCCACAGGTCAGAAAGGAGAAGATGAGAGAGGCTGCCAAAGACATTCTCTCTGGATAGCATTAACTTAGAATCTAGAAGTAAACTTTATTTCAGAACACGTAGAGTTCCTTGAACATGCAAAAAGTAAGAGGTTACACCATGATAATAGTAGGTTAAAGTTCCTAATGCAAGATCATGGCCATTAACCTATGTGTGGTTTCTGGGATCCCAGCTACCCTTCCCTGTTTGCTGCTCACATGCCTAATGTAATTTGTGTTTTAGTACAATAACTGAACAGATAAGACCTAGAAAACAATGAACCCATGGAAAGTAATTAAGAACTACACAAAAAGTGTTTGTCTGACATAACAGAGATTTCTTTTTTAAGGCTGGCTCTGATGAGGCTGAACTATGTCTGCAGACCCAATTAGACATTCACAATGAAGTATTCAATGTATTCTCCTTTCCTGCTCGCCTCAGTAGGTCCTGCGTTAGGCATTTTAGATTCCCAGAAATGTGAATAAATTTTCTTTTGGTAAAATAAAATGATCTGATAACTAATCCACTTAGCAATATAAACTAGAGGGTGAAAGGTATAAGACTTTTTTTTTTTTTTTTTTTTTTTTTTTTTTAAAAAATGACCGGTAAGGGGATCTCAACCCTTGGCTTGGTGTTGTCAGCACCATGCTCAGCCAGTGAGCCAACCGGCCATCCCTATATGGGATCCGAACCCGCGGCCTTGGTGTTATCAGCACCGCACTCTACCGAGTGAGCCACGGGCCAGCCCTACTAAGTCTTTTTAGTCTTCATATAATTCTATAATTACTAATCATTTACTGAATGATTTAAAGCATTTTCTTCCCTGATTTACGTTTAAGTTTCTGAGGATAGTTCTTCCTAACCCTCAGTTTTTTGGGGGGTGGAAGGTAGAAATCAATGTCTATAAAGCATTTTATATCTCTCAATAGAATAAGAAGTATTGCCATCACTTTTAAGGGGAGAAAGCTGCAAAAGCTCAGAGCACCTGTGGTCTATGGTGCTCTGATCTACTTATATCCAGAGAATTAAGGCATTTCTGAGATTTCTTAGCAAAGGGTCTATCTCTGGGAGGGCTGTAAAAGGCAAGTCTGACTTTGCCCAGTTAATCACTACAAACTGTGTGGACAGCAGGGGCTTGAGAATCTCTCTTGGAGTTGGAAAACTGCCCTAGAGCAAAGTCCTAACACGAGGTAACAGGAATGAACATGGGCACCAGGGGAGGCGAGGGAATCAGTAAATCCCCAAAGGGACTTTTGTTCTTAAAAAGAGCTAATCTGTACAAAAAGTCTGTGGTTCCCCCTCCTACGGTGAGTGAGTGCTCAAAGTTCTTCTGGCAACAGATCCCAAAAACAGCTTGCTGGGAGTCATCCGTTTCACTTATCAATATTCAGAAATAGCTTATTATTTAGAAGCTTAGGGGAACTTCTACCACCTGAGAGAAGAAAGATAATAAACATCCTAATCCTTATCCAAATTTACAGGAAAATTTCTTTTAAGGAAAGCATTTACATTAAGAATATCCTGGGGGCCGGCCCAGTGGCGCACTCAGTAGAGTGCGGCGCTTGGGAGTGCGGTGGTGCTCCTGCCGAGGGTTCAGATCCCATATACAGACCGGTCCGCTCACTGGTTGAGCGTGGTGCGGGCGCAACACTGAGGGTTGCGATCCTGTTGCCGGTCACGAAAAAAGACAAAACGGAAAAAAAAAAAAAAAAGAATATCCTGGAATTTCAAATCCTTTTCCAGAGCCATCATGATTTTTTATGTTCCCTAGTAGCCATTTAAATATAGTGGTCATGGCTGGCTAGGTCAGTTGGTTAGAGCACGGTACTGAAAACACCAAGGTCCAGGGTTTGATCCCTGTACTGGCCAGCTGAAAAAATTAAAAAAAAAAGAAAAAAATAAGTAGAGTGGTCATGTGTTCTGGAGTCAGACAGACTTTGGGTGAAGTCTCAGTCTCTATTTCTGGGCATATAAAGTGGAGCTGATACCAGAACTTATTTAATAGGGTTGTTAATTTATTCATATATGTAATCANCGGTAGAGTGCGGCGCTTGGGAGTGCGGCGGTGCTCCTGCCGAGGGTTCAGATCCCATATACAGACCGGTCCGCTCACTGGTTGAGCGTGGTGCGGGTGCAACACTGAGGGTTGCGATCCTGTTGCCGGTCACAAAAAAAGACAAAACGGAAAAAAAAAAAAAAAAAAAAGAATATCTTGGAATTTCAAATCCTTTTCCAGAGCAATCATGATTTTTTATGTTCCCTAGTAGCCATTTAAATATAGTGGTCATGGCTGGCTAGGTCAGTTGGCTAGAGCACGGTACTGAAAACACCAAGGTCCAGGGTTTGATCCCTGTACTGGCCAGCTGAAAAAAGAAAAAAAAAAAGAAAAAAAGAAAATAATAAGTAGAGTGGTCATGTGTTCTGGAGTCAGACAGACTTTGGGTGAAGTCTCAGTCTCTATTTCTGGGCATAAAAAGTGGAGCTGATACCAGAACTTATTTAATAGGGTTGTTAATTTATTCATATATGTAATCATCCACACATTCAGTTGTTCATTCAACAAATTTTAATTGCACATCTGCTATGTACCAAGCATCGTCTAGATGCTGGAAATACAGGACAGATATAGATCCTTACCTTCATGGAGTTTTCAGTCTAGTAGGTGAGTCAGACATGAAATAACTAATTACAAAATTAATTATTTAGAGTTTTTTTTCCAATACAGTTGTAATGTGTGCATGAAGCAGAAATCAGGATGCCACAAGACTGTATAATAGGAAAACATGACTTGCCAGAGTCAAGTTGTTGAGAAGATGAAATAAGATCATGAAAGTAAAGTGCTTAGTGCAGTGCTTGACATACAGTAATTAAATATTCAATAAATGATATCTGATATTATTACTTGCTTTTGCACATATTTTAAATTCAGTACTAGATATTAATGTCTTTAAGGGTTTTTATTCAGCTTTAGGATTTTGAATGGGAAAAAAATGATACACATACAATATTATTTAACAGTTTCTTTTTTTTTAAATACCTTTGTCATCTGCTACTAATCTTCCAAAGCAGCAGGTGATTGGCTGGCAGTGATTAAAAAGGTTGAGACTAGAGTCCTAACTCTACCCAGAATAGTTCTCCCTTCCTATGCCTCTTCAGCTTCTAAGGATGAGTCAGGAACAAAACACAAAAACAAAACAAAACAAAAAACTTACCCTTAAGAGAAGCATTCCAATTTTTGGCTTGAGTTGTTTTTTTCCAACTCAAAGAAAAAAATTGTTTATACCACTTCCCTATTCTAAAAGCTGGAGAAAACAGTATTTTATTTTCTTAGCAGTAGTCAACCGGTTATAGTTAGTTCAACCAATGTTTTTCTTTGATCCAAAATGGATTAGTTTTCAGTCCTTTATACAGACCTGCTATCAGGAAAGAACCAAAAGCATCAGTTGTCTAGATTGCATTTATATGTGGATGCAACATGGCTGACAGACCCAGAATAAGAGAATACATTCTTTCTGCAAACATAGTAGAAAGATTATTCCTGAACTAGTGTAACATTTCTTCATTTATTTTTTGAATCCATACTCATTTCTGCCACTCTATTTAAAGGCGCATATTCATGAAAATATTTGAGGTAGCATTAAAGATTTTTCCTAGGAAAATTTAGAGAAACCCAACATATATGTGTTTAAATAGAGTATCTAAGGTGTTTGTAATTGTCCGCATACCCTGAAGCCCAGAGTCATAGTTTAATTTAAAATAAAAAATCAATAACCTACTGAAATACAGACCTGAGATCCTAGACTTAGCTTTACCTCTAATTGTTTAAGTGACCAATTTTCAATTTATACAGCTATAAAATAGGGAGTACAATAGATCCCTTTTCCTTGTGCTCTCCCTTTCCCCTAACTACCACCAGAAAAAATTTTATGAATAAATGAGATAATATCCAAAAAGTGTTCAGTTTCTAGGTAAGAATAGTTATGTAAAGTACAATATAACTTTGCTATGGAATGTTCTCTTGTTTCGTGATTTCCCAGAATCAAAATATAACTTGATGAATCACTGATCCACAATCTGATTTAAGCTTTACCTCCTAGCAGCTGTGATATTGTGGGTTACTGCTAGGCGTAGAAGCAGTCAGAACCTGGTTGAATTAGTCCTATTAGACTATTTTAAGTCAGGCAGCTCCTCTTGGGCCCAATCTATTCATTTGGTAATGGAAATAACAGTTGGGATCTGTGTGTCAATGTGCAGCAGATTTTACTGATGAATAACACTTGAGAAATATGTGAAAAGCTATGTTAGCAACCAAAATACAAACAAATAAAACTTTGTTGTTTGGAAAAATCCGAAAATACCGCAAACTTTATAAGAACTAATCATGAATAAAGGACTTCGGTCCTCCCCCGTCATCCTTAACCAATTAACTCATTCTAAAGAAATGCGTCACTGAAAAGTCTGACTTTGAAGAAAAGTCTCTTCTGTTCCCTTGTTTTTATGAGGTTTTTTGCTCAGTGGAAGAGTTTTTAGAAGTTTGTTTCTTACAAAATAATTTCAGGGATTAATGCAGCCTTTTCAATCTGTGTTCCACCAGAATTAAGTACTAATGCCTTGAAGCATCCATTGTATATCATGAATTAACTTCTTTCTCACACATCCAAGAAAGGTACTAGTTATGAACCATCTTTTGGAGAATTAAGAAAACAGTCTATCAAATCATTTTCTGTGTTCTGTGATTCAGAGAGGATCCCTGGTTGAGAAAGGCTGGTAGAGGTTCCTAAATGAAAACATGACAAAGCTTAGTACTAGGATCA